CCCCCCCCCCAAGCCCCCTTCACCATCACCCACCTCTGTGCACCGCGGATTCCAGACACAGGAGAAGGTAGGAAAGGCGCGCTTCCCGGGAGCGGGGGTGATTCTCCACATTGCAGCGATATTTCTTCAGGTCGGCCTTGCAGGACTTTGCCAGCGAATAGCTGACCTTGTAGTCCTGAGCAATCAGCTTCTGACGTGTGGTGAGAGCATCGCGGCACTGCGGGGGGGGAGAGAACAGTCAGTCACACCTCACTGCAAATGGAGCAATGCAGCGATTCAAGGGAAACATACAGATTGTAAGGGTCTGATGAGAGAACCAGAACAAGGGGCGCCTTTCCTAGTGTAGATACATTTTTATTAAACAAATGGCAAAAGAAGAATAATACTCAGAGTAGAGAACATTGAGCCTTCAAAATCAAGGGTTGATCCTCAGTCTTAGCAAAAAGCAAGGCAGCATGTGAGAGCCGCACAGAGGGTGGTTCCTGTGCGACAGCACAGTACGCCTAGGTTGACGCATTTCCGGGACCACGCCCCCTTCCTCAGGACCTTCAGAATTATTTTATACTTTTGCCGTTTAAAAAAAAATGCATCTACACTAGGAAAGGCGCCCCTTGTTTTTGTTTTCTTATCAGACATCACAGTCTCCCTGACTGGGGCAGCGACCTGTAGAACTTCTGCATGTATATTTCTCAGTGGAGTGGTCATCTCTGCCGCTATTGGTTTTTATTTTCGTGTGGCCAGGTCCTTTTTGGGCTCTAAGAGATTGAAGGGTCCATCCAGTGCTCTATTCATTTCATGTTACATTTACTGGGCTCATTTTTTTTTTTTAGAACTCTTGGGGGGGACAACAGCAGCCTTTTCAGTCTAGAAAGAAAGGAGAAAAAAAAAAAACAAAAAAAAACAGCTGCACCCTAGGAAAGTTCAAACCTTGGCAACTTTATTGACCGGACAAACATGCACAAAGCCCCTTGTGTGGGACCTCCTGTATGTACTTCGCCCACAAAACTGGGCTTAATCATAGAGATGAGACAAAAACACCTTCAGAAGGAGATCCTGCGACTCTGTTTGTCCAGAACAATAAAGCTGCCAACGTTTGAACATTCCTGGAGAGCAGCCGTCCTTTTCTCCTTCCTAGACTCGCATGATTTATGGGGCATAGGACCAGGCCCTGCTGGCGCTGAGCACCCGGATCTTCAGAAGAATGACCCGGACCCGGGCTTGGTCGGCATTTCTGACTTCTATAAATTCTTACTGCATGACAAAGATGGGAACAGTGGAAACTGCAGGTACTGCTATGCCTACGAGAGGAGCAATGGGGGTCCATCCTCCTAGGGACAGGATTAGGAACAGCAAAGGAAGACCCCAGAGGTGTTCTGTGTCCCCCCCCATATGAGAATACTTATCGACAAATACAAGTCTTCCTTTTTATAGGGCAGCACGGTGGCCTAGTGGTTAGCGCTTCTGCCTTGCAGCGCTGGGGGTCCCTGGTTCGAATGCCAGCCAGGCCACTATCTGCATGGAGTTTGCATGTTCTCCCTGTGTGGGTTTCCTCCGGGTACTTCGGTTTCCTCCCACACGCCAAAGACATGCTTGGAGGTAAAATTGGCTCCTGTATCCGGTCTAAAATTTGCCTTGCATCTGATATTAAGGACTTTAGATTGTAAGCTTCTCGGGGGCGGGGACTGACGTGAATGTACACTATGTAAAGCGCTGCGTAAATGGTCGGCGCTACATGCATACCTGTAATAATATGCGTTGTATAAAATCATTGCATGAAAAGCAAACCATGTGACCGCATATCCCCTCCAGCATGGGAGAATAGGGCTGCGGCACAAGACCAGGGCGATGCATCCCGGATAAAACGCGCTGCAAAGGGGAAATCTATTCATGGCTTATTGGCGGCCAGACTTACGCGTTCGCTCATGGATTCCTCAAACTTGTGGTTGAACAGACACTTGTAGACTCTTCCTTCTCCCGCCTGGATCTGTGTGCAGAACAAGACATGGCAGTGAGGACGGCGTGTGACCGGATACAGGTCAGAGAGCGGACAGAACATAACAGAGGCGCTGCAAGCAACGTCCCGTCCCCATCTACAGCAGGTCAGAGACCGGACAGAACATAACAGAGGCGCTGCAAGCAACGTCCCGTCCCCATCTACAGCAGGTCAGAGACCGGACAGAACATAACAGAGGCGCTGCAAGCAACGTCCCGTCCCCATCTACAGCAGGTCAGAGACCGGACAGAACATAACAGAGGCGCTGCAAGCAACGTCCCGTCCCCATCTACAGCAGGTCAGAGACCGGACAGAACATAGAGGAGGAGCTGCAGGCAACGTCCCGTCCCCATCTACAGCAGGTCAGAGACTGGACAGAACATAACAGAGGAGCTGCAGGCAACGTCCCGTCCCCATCTACAGCAGGTCAGAGACCGGACAGAACATAACAGAGGCGCTGCAAGCAACGTCCCGTCCCCATCTACAGCAGGTCAGAGACCGGACAGAACAGAGGAGCTGCAGGCAACGTCCCGTCCCCATCTACAGCAGGTCAGAGACCGGACAGAACAGAGGAGCTGCAGGCAACGTCCCGTCCCCATCTACAGCAGGTCAGAGACCGGACAGAACAGAGGAGCTGCAGGCAACGTCCTGTCCCCATCTACAGCAGGTCAGAGACCGGACAGAACATAACAGAGGAGCTGCAGGCAACGTCCCGTCCCCATCTACAGCAGGTCAGAGAGCGGACAGGTGACGGGTCTATCAGGCGGCACCGCTTACCGTCTCGCAGAATCGCTCGCGGTCGTCTCGGCAGGCAAAGTAGAGGTGACGGTCCAGGTGGAAGTCATCCGAGGACAGCTCAGCCACACGTAAGATCGCTTGCTTGCACTTGTCGGAGACTCGGGTCTGAGGATCCGCCTCCTCCGCCTCCTTTACAATGCCCTTCTCCAGGCAGGAGACCACCTCGCCCTGGGAATGAGGGTCCTGAAAGAGACATGTTACCACGTCAGAGGACACAACCGATGGGAAGATACTTCCGAATCCAAATGACTTATCGCTGTGCCGAGACCCCGGTGACCCATAATTCCCTGCGGTCAGGACTGAGAGCAGAGGTGTCCCTCCTAATAGCTGTGAACGCACCGGGACCATCAGACTCAGAACTGGACATTCTCAGCGCCGGGCGTCCATTTTATCCTCTGTGTTCACTTCTTACTGAGCCGAGAAATCAGAAAACTGCATTCGGATCGATAGCTGCAGGTGACCCGTCTATTCCTCCGATGAGAGTAACGCGGCTCGCTGGATCTCAGATCTCTACGTCATGCCTTCCATTAAAGGAGAAGTACGGGGTCGGGGCTTTCCTCATAGTTCTCCTCAGGGTAACGGGAAGACACAAACTAGCGTCCTCCCGTCACCCTCAGCTCAGTATATAGGGAGCTACAGCTCGCGGTATACTGAGACGCCGGAGCCGCAGCGGATCCCGACAATTATGTCTGGATCCGCCCAGCTGCGTGAGTGACAGCTGGCTCCTCCTATCTAGAGGCAGAGCCAGCTGTACCCGCCCCCTCCCCCGTCCGTTCCGCCAGTCAGCGCTGGCAGATCGGAGCGGGGAGAGGGGAATCCCTGCAGGGAGTCATGACTGACAGTCACGGCTCTCTGCAGGGACATGATGGAGAAGTGAGCGAGCGCCGGTATGCGTTCTCTCACTTCCCGATCTATTGAGCCGACGTGTCACAGTCTCATTGTCACAGGTCGGCTCAGATCATGAAGATGAGAGGAAAATCACCCCCTCCCCCCTCATTAGTTCTCCTTTAATACATTTTTAAGATGGATAAAAAAACAAAACTTTACGTCTTCATTGTCCTCTACGCGGCACGAAGGACTACACTGGTCCCTTTAAATACGGCTGCCGGAGATAGTCCCAGCTTTTACCTTATCTCCCGGGCGAATGCTGCCACACTTCAGAGTGTTGATCTCGGCCTTGCAATCCTCCATGAAGCCGCAGATCAGGCGGTAGTCGCTGTAGATGATGGCGGCCATCTTGGTGATGTATTGGTGGCACTGGTACTCTGTGATGTTTGCACGGTGATCCACCAGACAGGAAACCACATAACCCTTTCCAGGGGTCTCGTCTGCACATTCCTTCAGCTGTGAAGACAAAAGTCTGGTGACCCGTCCGTCCCTTCCA